ACAGAGGAGGGTCTTACTTCAGCAGCAATGGCCTCTTCTCATCCACAGCTGATTCTTTATCCCTAGCAGGACCTTCAGAAAACACATATTTTCAATTCAAAATATCCCACAAATGGCCTCGAAAACCTTTGAGAGACTCTCAAATTTCCCTCTAAAACTTCATACTACACCTCTCTCAATATCCTTCTTTTGCAAGTTCTCTCAGAACGTCCAATTAAGCTCTGAGCACTAAAGGGCTTTGACCCCAGTCCAAATTCCAAACACTTCACAATCCCCACAAAAACAACACAGTCAGTTCTGTCATAACAAGATCCCACAATACTATTGCCAGTTTCTCTATCCATTTGCTTTCTATTGCTGTGTTAAAACACTGACCAAAACCAACTTGGGGAGGAAAGGGTTTATTTCATCTTACAGCTTGGAGTCTGTCGTCCAGAGACGTCTGGGCAGGAACTCAAGGCAAGACTTCAAGACAAACCTGAAGCAGAAGCCATGGAGGAAGGCTGCTTACTGTCTTGCTCAGTTTACTTTCTTACACACCCTGGGACCAACTGCCAGGGATGGCACTTACCACAGTGAGCTGGGTCCTTCCACACCAATCATCAATCAAGAAAATGACCCACAGGCTTGCCCAAAGGCCAATCTGATGCAGGCAATTTCTCAGTTGAGGTTCTGTCTTCTGAGATGGCTCTAGATTATATCAAGTTTACCAAAAACAAAACACCTAACCAACAAACTTCTAGCCTCAACAAGTATGAGAGGGTACACTTTTGTTGTACTAAGTCATCAATTGTCACAGCCCTACAAGACTAATATCTCGTTTTACAATACTATAAATTAAAATCAAGGAACATTCAACTGGACAAGAAGGAGGAGAAGAAGAAGAAGAAAAAGGAGGAGGAGGAGGAGGAAAGGAATGAAGGAAGAAAAGAAAGAAAGAAGGGAGAAAGAAAAAAAGAAAGGATTACATACCTAGAGGGAATTTTATATTAAAGAATTATAGTGATTATAGTCAGGCCAGAGAGAGTCAATGGCTAAGAACACTGACTGTTCTTCCAAAGGACCTAGATTCAATTCCCAGCACCAACATGGCAACTCAAAACTGTCTGTAACTCCAGTTCCAGGAGATCCAGCACCCTCACACAGACATACATGCAGGTAAAACACCAATACATATGAAAAGAAAGGAAAGGGAGGGAGGGAGGGAGGGAGGGAGGGAGGGAGGGAGGGAGGGAGGGAGGGAGGGAGGGAGGGAGGGATCACATTTCACAGAACACAGATAAGGAATGAAAGCTTCCTGCCTTGTAATGCAGAACTGAGGGTTGGGAAAGGAAGTCACCCTCTACCCACACCCCGGTGTTGACCCTCTCCATGAATCCGTCTCATCTCTCTCCTGGATTTCTTTTGGCTGTACATGGCTCACCAAGGTAGCTTCAGCCCCAAGTCTCTCAGCTTGAAGCATAGTCCCTATATCTAAGCATTACAGGTGTGGTTTTGTTTGTTTGTTTGTTTTTCCAGGGAAGCTGACTCCTGCCAATCACTAGATGCCCATCTCTGACCCAGCACTTGAGGAGTGAGTCTTGGGTTCCTTCTACAGCAATGGACCAGGAGATTCCCACAGTGGTCACGAGCTTGTCCCTCTGCTACTGTCTGCTCTCTTGCCTGCTTCTCTCACTGTCCGGCAGCTTCTTGAGAGCAAACATGTCTTGAGTCTGACCTTCTCTGGCTAAACAGTGCTGTAGATGTACTGAAGCACACACAATCTACTCTCAAATGCCTCTCAAAATATGGACCCTAGCAGGCTCAGACAGGACCCAGGAATCATCAGGGCTTCATCAATGTGAAGATTTCCAAGCCAGAAAGCCATCCCCAGTCTGTCTGGTGAAAGATGGTCACTATAGGACTAGTCAGATGGACAGACACAGCCATGGGCATGGGAGGGAGAAGCAGGACAACTCCTAAAACTATTGTCTTTTGTAGAAATAAGTTCAAGGGAGAAGTATTGAAAGGAGAACATGCAGAGTTACCTTGTTATGTCATGGCTAAGGTGTGAACATTGTAATTCCCTCTGTGATGTGCTGAAGTACAGAAACCTAAGGGAAACAATGTCTCCAAACTATAGTTCTACAGTTCTTCCTAAATTTAAACGTGAATCATATTTACTCTTCCTGCATATACCAGAAAGAGACAATAAAGCCTGCCAAAGCATTGTGTAAGTGATACACCCCATGTCAGAGCAAGGCATCACTAAGCCCTCTCCAGCTTGCATGGACACACACACACACACAGAAAGACAGACAGACAGACAGACAGAGACAGATACATACAGAGAAAGAGAGAGAAAGAAAACACATGTATACACAGTGCTTTCACTTACCCAGAAAGATAAATGGCAGCCCAGTTGCCCAGCAACCAGTTCCTCAGCCTCATTCCATACTGGCTGGATTCCCAGTGAACTTGAGATCTTGCTGGATACTGGTAAGGGCCTACTTCCTCCAACATTTACTTTCCTAGTTTACCCGGGGGGTGGTGGGGGGGTGGGGGTGGGGGGGGTGGGGTGGCTAAGAGAGACTGTGGTCCTTGTCTGGGACAAGCCGTGGCCAGAGTCAAGAACTCAAGAACTCTGAATGAATAGAAACCTATGTGAATGAACGGAGTGTTCAACAGGACAAGTGTTATCATAAGGACAAAGTCAATACAGTCACACTTCTGTTCTGCAGCCTTGGACGTTAGCTTTGCTGCTAACGTCCAAGGCTGCAGGTAGAGGAATCCTAGAAGGAGCATGTGTTAGTTTGGATCTGAAATGTTTCCCCAAAGCTCATGTCCCCAGAATCCCCAGTGCAGCAGTGTTTGGAAGCTAGGCATATGGACGGTGATTGGACTAGGAAGGCTCTACTAACCTCATCAGTAGGTTAATCAATTGATAGGATCGTGGCTTAATGGGCTATTGAGAGTTAGTGGAAACTTTTGAGAGTGAGATCTAGTTAGAGGAATTGGGTCACAGATGTGCCCTTAAAGGATGTGCTTATACCTGGTCTGTTTGCTTGTTTCTCCTCTCCTTCCTTTTTATTTCTTCTTAACAACCATGAACATGTGTGTGGGAACACCAGACCTTGAGCAGAAACCCACTTCCCCTTCTGCCTGGGAGTAGGCAGCTGTAAGACAATGTTTAGTAAAAACATGTTTACTAAAAACAATACAATGCCCGGGGGCAATAAGTTCCTGGAAAAGGCCTGCCCACAGAAACCACCCTGAGCTCGACCTTGTCCAAAGACTAACCGCCTCTTCTGCCACGCCCAGATCAGTTTCTGGGGTCAGAGCAGAACCAGCCAGGGGAGAGGAGAGAGCAGAAGCTTCTCTGGTGGGAGCCTTTCTTAGGAAGTTTTCTTGAACCTTTTTGGAGCCTGCTTAAAGTTTTCTTTACACCGTTGAACGAGTCTCTGTGTTGTCAATCCCCGACACCCTCCGCACGTTCTCGGACACAGGCCGCGCAGCAGATGCGACACATGTGACAGCCTTTGACCACCTCAAAGCAGAAGTCCTGTGGTGACCTATAGAAAACTTTGGCCCATAGTCATGGCATTGAAATAAACAGAATAATGTAGTCTGTAGTAATAACAAATAAGTCAACATTCCCTTGCAAACTCCAGTCATTACTCCCTCCTGCCCCTTCCCCAATTGCATGCAATCCTGCCCCAGAATTGGGGCAGGTAATTGGGGTGTTAGCATATGTAGGAGGTACAAGTCTTATTGGGGTACAGCACCCTGTGTGTCAATACTAGAGGTTGGGATTCCCAGATGGTACATTTGCAAGGTAAGTGGCCCAAAAAATTCTCTGGTCCAGCAGCCTAGGCCCGGGTGGAATCCGTGTCTGGTCTGTAGGCAAGATATCTGGGGCAAATATAGTGTTTCTTTAACATCTCCCCAAGAAAAGTCACACCACACTGAGGTGAGTGGCTTTGCTCCACCAAGTGCTCCCCACCATGATGTCTGTGTCACCCCAAGCCCAGAGACAACTAGAGGCCCCTGGTCATGCTCTGAAGTCATGAGCCAAAAGGTATATGTTATGTATCTTAGTCATTTTGTCATGGTAACTCAAACTTAACACAGCACGGTGTAACTTGTCTGTCTACCAGGAACAAATCCATTCTACAGAGACCCTTGCCCTTAGCCTCTTTATCAGACTGGTGAAAGAATGGACCCCAAGTAACTGCAGTGTCCTCAGAAGTCGCCTATGCTGGGGGGAAGGCATCAGGGGGAAGAACTTGCTTCCAGGAGGAAAATGCACCTGTTGGATGACCTTGTAGGAGAGACTCACCTGCGGGAGACACTTGAAGCTGAGGCAATGGGGGGAGGGGACCGCTCCTTGGAGACTGTTTCATTATGCTTCATATCTCTTGCTTTCTATTTAAACATGTTAGAACCCTCAAAGACAGACTCGGGGAAGTCATTAGGACTCTTTGTCCCTCCTTCCCCAAATGGCCACATTGAGTGAGTCTCCTCTTTCTGCTTTCCACTATTAATTTGGTTCCTTTAATCGGCTTATTCAGGATGGGTGGCAGAGCCTGGCTTGTTGTCTGCGCAGAATGTGACCCCCAAGTCATCAGCAGCAGAACTTCCCATGGGGGAACCACCCTTCCACCCCAGCCCACTCTTTTCCCTGCGTGCTCCCAGCCGGCACGTGCTCTCAGCCGGCACAGGCTCCCAGCCGGCACAGGCTCCCAGCCGGCATGGGCCGTCCCATCTTCCCCAGCTCTCCTCCCAGTCACTCATGACTCCTTCAGCAAACATTCACAGGCTCCCACTACTTGTAGGTCATCTTGCCAGACCCTGGAGCCAGAGATGCCAGACCCTGCCTACAAGCCAGGCCCTGCTCAAGAGGGTAGGGTCTGCTCTCTGCCTGGCTCAGTTCAACCCAGACCTCCATTTTAGAAGATCCACACTTCTTACTTCTGAAATCCCACCCTAGGACAAGACCCATGCTCAGAAAAAAATCTAACCTTTCATTTCCATCACAGTTCACTTCTTTCTTTTCTTTCTCTGCGCAGCAGCAGTACCAGCTGCCTTACCTTCCAGGAAGCCTTCGGTTTAGACTAATATTTACATGTATTTGCATTTCCTTTGTACACAGAGATGGGGGATGGGTAGGGTAGAGAGTTTTGCTTAGAAACGCTTCCTGGGCCAGTACACAAAGTGCTATTTCAATTGCCAATTTAAAATCCAGAAGCAACTTGTTCAGCTCAAATTCTGGTAATTTCTATCACGCGCCCCTTCCCATCCTAAGGTCCCCACTCCTGCCTTCTTCACGGCTTCTATCCCACTCCCCACCTAAGTCAGGGGTGGGCACACTCTGTCTTGGTTTTATACACAATGGAAATTTTTTTCTCCTGTAATTCTTCATGTTTTCGGCCATTCTCAGAGAATTCTGTGGGCACCCTCTGGTGGCTGACTAGAATTTTTAGCTTAAATCCGAGTTTGAAGGAGATGGCTTTATTTCGTCCTCCTGCTCTCTGTCTGGCTTTACGTTGGGCACGGTGAGTTTACTTGCTGAGTTAGTTCATCACCCAAGGCCTGAGAGATGGGAGTGTAGCAGCCACTTTAAAACCCTCTGAGGAGAAATGATGCCTGGTAGAGAAATGTTAGAGCTAGGAAACAGCAGGGCTATGGTTTGCAGTGTTACCAGACCGGCCTGAGCACACAGGATGAAATGCACCCTTCTCTGGGCTCTCAGCAGACATAGTTTCCAGAGGGAAAGGCACACACACACACACACACACACACACACACACACACACACACACACACACACACACACACACACACACCGGCCTGAGCACACAGGATGAAATGCACCCTTCTCTGGGCTCTCAGCAGACATAGTTTCCAGAGGGAAAGGCAAACACACACACACACACACACACACACACACACACACACACACACACACACACACGCAGAGCAGGTTCCCGGGTGGCAGCTGTGATGGAACCTAGCAACCACCGGCTCCTTTTTGTTTAAAACCGAAGGACAGTTAAGTCAAGCCAATGAAGGCTCCCAGGGAGGCTAAGGGCTGACAGGAAATGGAAAGGTTCCAGGAGAAGGGTAAATTTTGCAGGCTAACGTGTGACTTTCTCAGACTTGCTCAAGGGAGCAGCCACTCACAAAAGCCTCCCAGGTCTTTGGAGGAGGCCGCTGGGGAGGCAGAATCAGAGGAAATGGAGGCGGCATGATGGGGAGAATTATGCAGCCCTCCTACCTGCACTCTCCTCAACTCCCCATGCCCTTGGGCCCTGAAACCCTGGGGGTCTGATAAGTGGAACTGCTTTGTCTACAAAACCATCACCTTTATTTCCTTAACTCTTTCCCAAAGATTTAATTAGTCTCGGGCTATTCGCCAAAGTCAGTTAATGTCACCTTCATTTTGTGAGAAGAGGCGCACAGGGGTTAAACAGGAGTGTGACTTCGGAGACCTTAGGAAGCAGCTCCAATGCCCTGGTGCTCTGGGATCTCCCCTGCAGGGGCCTTGGTTCTCAGCCACCTCCCAACCTGCCCTTTGTCTCTCCGTGCAAGCCAAGCTTCGACAGCACACGCGAAAGCCAGTAGGACAGGGTTTCGCGGAAGGGCACACTGGAGACACGGGGAGAAGCAACGTTCCCAGCAGGCCCCAGACGCCAGAAAGTCAGCCCAGCTGTTCAGATTCCAGACCACAAAATCTCAGGCCTCAGCAGCATCATTTACCTGCAAACAAAGAGGCATTGTCTACCAGGACAGCTTCCTTAAGGAAATTATTTTTCATGTGCTTTGTTTCACAGTCAGAGCCCAGGGCAAAAGGAAAGTCCCAGGGTTCCGGCAAGCTGTCAGCTACCCCACACGGGGTGGGGGCGGTAGCCGCTTCTCTGCCTGGCTGTATGTGAGGGTGGAACAATGTCTTGGGTGGATATTCCAGAAGCGAAGGTATGGTGACTGAGCAAAAAGGCATGATGCCACGGTGACCACACCTGTGGGAGCAGAAGTAGCTCAGCCACCCACAGAGACACCACGAGATCCGTTGAGCTGCACCGGGTGGAGTCCCTCCTCGAGCTCCTGTCTTTAATCTGTGCTTCCGGTGGAATGAAAATATTATTTCATGGCTGTTGTAAGCCGCACTCAATCTGCTGCTGTATCATCCATCATGCTAATTGCAGCCCACAATACTTGCTGAGTACAGGTGTCACCTGATCCTTTTGTACAGATTAACTTACTCATTTTCATGACAACCAAATGATCTCCATAAAAAGGATACCAGGCAAGGGAGTAAAGTAGCTGGCCCCATGCCGGGCAATGCAGAGTCAGGGTACCTTCAGACCCTGGCTGTTGGGCTCCAAACCTCTTGCTCTTCACGACCTAGGCTGCTATTTCCTGAAGCATGTGAGATGAACTGAGGTACCCTTCACAGAAGCCTGTACATGTGTGCTATAATCATCCCCATCCAGTGATGAGACAAGGAAGTCATAGGGAAAGTAAACAGGATTATATGGCTAGAGAGAGGCAGAGACACAGTAAAGCCAGTCTTTTCAATAAGTGGAGCTGAGGGCGGTTAAGAGAACTTGCTGTTCTTTGAGAGAACCATGAGTCCAGTCCCCAACGCCCATGTGAGGCAGCTTATAATCACCTGTAACTACAGCTCCAGGGGACCCAACACCTTCTCCAGACCTTTGAGGGCACCTGCACAGAGGTGTTCACACAGACAGAGAGACACAGACATACAGGCAGACAGACAGGCACACATCATCATCATCATCATAACAACAACAACAGATCTCAGTAAATGGTGCTGAGAAAATTTGGTATCCATATGCAAAAGAATGGAACTAGATCTGCGCTGCTTTCCAACTGCAAAAACATCAACTCAAATGGATTAGAGAGTTAAACATAAGCCCTGGAACAATGAAACCATTGGAGGAAATGCTCAGGACATTAGAATGCACAAGACTCTAAAGGTACAGGAGGGAAATTCAACTATCACATACTAAAAAGTGCACAGCAAAGCCACTAGTCATCAACATGAAGAAAATCTCTGTAGAATGGGAAAGAATGTTTGTGAGCTCTGTGTCTGAAGCTATTATGTCCATAATAGTTAAGGAATTTAAAATCTCAGAAACACTCACAACTGGCCAAAATGCCAGGAATAAGGGACTGCACAGTGCTCAACCACAAACAAGACATCTGTTTTCAAACTCTTCCCTGAGGCTTAGGGATCTTTGTGGAAAAGGAGGCGGAAAGATTCTAAGAGCCAGGGTCTGGGAGGGCCAGAGAGAAACAGTGTCTTCTGGACATAACAGGACTGCTGCTCTCCTGAACTCAACTACAGCTGTGGCTGCCTGCGCAAGACCTGCACAAGATGGGTACAGGCTACACTCTAGCATGGTAGGGGAAGGAGCTCACGGACTCCCATCCCTAACCGAGGAGCTGTGGACAATCGATGGATTCTGGGAGAGTGAGTTCCAGTGTTCCTTAAGGGTGCGGGCTCCTATAGACTCTACTCCAGTGGATGGTCCCACACCCAGAAGTATTTGGATCATACCAACTGACACCAGAGGCTTACTGACTAAAAGAAACAAGTAGATATTAAATCGTGAGAGTAAGACAATAGAGGAAAGTCAGGGGAAGAATTAGGAGTGGAAATAGTCAAAGTACATTATATAAAATTCTTGAAGAATAGAAATATTTTAAACACTGAGGAGCGGAACAAGAGATAACCCAATTAAGACCAAGCAATAAAATAAGACATGCAAATGATCGGCAGGTACACAGAAAATCTATTTCTATCAGGGAAATGCAATTCAAAAAACACAGCAAAAGATCGCTTCACTCTGGTCTAATGGTAATTATCAAAAAGGCAAAAAGTAACCAGTGTTGGTGAAGGTGTGAAGAAGAGGTTTTTGTGCACTGTTGGTGGGGATGTGAATTAGGATGGTTTGGGAGTCAATGTAACCAAAAAAAAAAAAAAAACCTCCTGTGTGACCCATAAATCCCATATAAATATATGTATATTGTTGGGGAAGTCCTGTGTATATGTCAATAAAGCACTGTTGGCCAATAGGGAACCAAGATAGGCGGGACTAGGAGTCCAGGAGGACTCTGGGAAGGAGAAACACAGGAAGTCAAGATGTAGCTACCATAGGGGGTCAGAAGTCCGGACCCCTTTCTCTGGTAAGAGAAATACTTAGACAGGTTAAATACTTAAGTCAGAGCTAGTCAATAAGAAACAAGCAAGGCCAACAGCTTCATAATGAATATAGCCTCCTGTGTGTTTATTTGGGACTGATGCGGCTCTGGAACCAGGCGGGCGGGAAGGCTTCCCTTTACAGTATATATATCATCTCCAAAGGGAATAGGTCAGCCTGCCAGAGACACATCTACACACCCATGTCTACTGCAGCACTATTCACAATAGCCAATAATACATGATAAGAATATCACACACATACACACACACACACAGGCAATATTACTAAGCTAGAAACAAAACGAAATTCTATTATTTGTGACAATATGAATGGAACTAGGGACCATTACGTTAAGTAAAGCAAACTTAGTACAGAAAGGCAATGCCCTGGTCATTCACATGTAGGACTTAAAAGATTAACCTCTTAGAAAATGGAAAGGTGCTAGGTACCAGAGTGCAATCAAAGTAGTGGGGAGGAGGCACGCAGAATGATTGACTGACAGGTGAGAACTAACAGTGGCTAATGTTAGAAGCAGTATAGATGATAGTTACGTATCTTTGTATCTTTAAAATCTACAAAAGGTATTGAATGGAACAGACATATTAAGATGATTTAAACAGAACACGGTGTCTACATATATTATAATACCATGGAATGCTGAAGCTGTCACAGCCAATAGAGCACTTCCCTGGCAGGCACGGAGTCCTAGGCTCCTTCCAGGCTCCACACTCTGGAGATTGAGCGAGAGGATCAGAAGTTTCAGGGCCATCTATCTACACAGTGATTTGGGGGCTAGCCTAGGATACATGAGAGCCTGTCCAAAGACTTTTTTTTTTAAGGAAAGAAAAAAAATGAGGATGAAGAGGCACTTTATGTGTTTTAAAAATAGTTTGGGCTGGTGTGGTAATGCACACCTTTAATTCCAACAGAGGCAGGCAGATGAATCTCTGTGAGTTTGAGGTCAGCCTGATAGACGGAGTGAGTTCCAGGATAGCCAGGGTTATGGAGAGGGAGTGAGGGGAGAGGGAGAGGAGGAGAGGGAGAGGGAAAGGGTGAGGGAAACGGAGGGGAGGGGGAGAGAGAAGGGGAGGGGGAGAGGGAGGAGACTATTTGGAGGCTGTAAAATGGCTCACAAAGTCCCCAACACTTATGCCTGGACCTCAGATCTCCTTGTGAAGCTTGAAGATCCTTACTTTGTCTTTTCCCAGTGACCTTTGGCCTTAAATGGGGGAAGTAGTCATTGAAAACTCCAGGGTCAGAGCAAAAGGGCATATTTATTGCCCCAATACTGCATTTCAACCAAAGACAAGATGCATTTCTAGGAAGTGAAGAGGATCAAAGGCTG